TATTGCATTGTGTTATTATCCTGTTAAAATTCATACCAAAAGTAAGTGGTATGTATTTTATTTAAAGGTCAGTTTTGGGACTGTGGTTGTGGTTCAGAGGTAGAGTAAGAAAATTAATTAGCATTCTTAGTTAGGGAAGTCCTCTGATTAAAGTTGTACACATTTTTGCTGTATAGTGAAAGTGGAATCCTTGTGTTAGATGTCCTTGGCGTCTTGCCATGATTGACAATGAGCAGAGCTGCATTAGCTATTCAGTAAGCAGTCACATTCCATGTTTGACAAGGGTTCTCAGCTGTGCAATAGAATTAGGGATGGGAGAATGATTGTCTTTAAGAATTTAGATTAGTGTAACAGTACTAATTTTTAAGTTCTGGTATTTGAAACTAGTTTCTGGAAGCTTTAAATCCAATCACACGAAACTTTCCATTTTTCTTTTTGTGTTTTTTTATTTTTCCCCTAAATATTTATGCCGGGGTGGGGATATACTCAGTTGTTGAGCACTCTCCCAGCCTGTATTATGCCTGGGGTTTGATCCTCAGCATTGCATTTCTTTGACCTTTCAAATAAAAAAGGTTGCTTTTGTATTTTACAGGGCTATATTCGACAGTGCCGCAAGCACACGGGAATGTTCACTGTTGCACAGCTAGCCACTATTTTTGGAAACATTGAAGACATTTACAAGTTCCAAAGAAAGTTCCTGAAAGACCTTGAGAAACAGTATAACAAAGAGGAACCTCACTTAAGTGAAATAGGATCCTGCTTCCTTCAGCATCAAGAGGGCTTTGCCATCTATTCCGAGTATTGCAACAACCATCCAGGAGCCTGCGTGGAGCTCTCCAACCTCATGAAGCAGAGCAAGTACAGGCACTTCTTCGAAGCTTGCCGCCTGCTCCAGCAGATGATTGACATCGCCTTGGATGATTTCCTCCTCACGCCAGTGCAGAAGATCTGCAAATACCCTCTGCAGCTGGCAGAGCTGCTCAAGTACACCACGCAGGAGCACAGTGATTACAACACTATAAAGGCAGCCTATGAGGCCATGAAGAATGTGGCCTGTTTGATCAATGAGCGTAAACGCAAGCTGGAGAGCGTTGACAAGATTGCTCGCTGGCAGGTGTCCATTGTGGGCTGGGAGGGATTGGATATTCTAGACCGAAGCTCAGAATTGATTCATTCAGGGGAATTGACCAAAATCACTAAGCAGGGCAAGAGCCAGCAGTGGACCTTCTTCCTGTTTGACCATCAGTTGGTGTCCTGCAAGAAGGACCTGCTACGCAGGGACATGCTGTACTACAAGGGTCGCATGGATATGGACGAGATGGAGCTTGTGGATGTGGAGGATGGGCGGGACAAGGACTGGAACCTCAACGTGAGAAACACCTTCAAGCTGGTCAGTAGGACCACAGACGAGGTTCACCTGTTCTGTGCCAAAAAACAGGAAGACAAGGCAAAGTGGCTGCAGGCCTGTGCGGATGAGAGGCGTCGGGTGCAGGAGGACCAGGAGATGGGAATGGAAATTTCAGAAAATCAAAAGAAACTAGCCATGTTAAATGCTCAGAAGGCAGGACAAGGAAAGTCAAAAGACTATAGCGGATGCCCTGTTGCCCCGCCACACCAGAACCTGCATCCCCTCCACCAGCGCCACATCACCGTGCCTACCAGCATCCCCCAGCAACAGGTGTTTGCCCTGGCAGAACCCAAGAGAAAGCCTTCCCACTTCTGGCATACCTTCCATAAACTCGCCCCTTTCAGGAAGTGAGCAGCAGGCCCATACTTCCCCTGAGGGACTGTGAAGAGGAGAACCATGTTCATTTCTTTTGTGTGAAACCCGGGGAAAGTTTCTTGGGCCCAGTGTTGAAAACTTCTTTGGGGGCTCAAGGAAGGAGTTGGACTCACCTTCACTTCAGAGATCCTGCTGCTTTCGTGGAAAGGAGGAGAAGGTCATGACACGTAGCTCTGCCCTGCATGAGAAGCCCCAAGAAGCACTCTGAGGTGGCTGGGACTTTGGAACCAGGGTCAAGTTCTACAGGAATGCTGCTATGGTAGCTCCACAAGCCCCACTAGTGATGGGGACACTCCTGCAGTTCCAGAGCACTGAGAGCTTTTCAGTGCTAAGGAAATGACTCAATTAGAGGATTGAGTCTGCATTTGATTTTGAAGGGAATCAACGATGGGGAGTAGCTATAATGCTGCCTCTCCCTACCATGTGTCTGGTCACACTTAGAAGGTGAGCTTTTACTCCCTCTGGTAGTATTAGGGGATCAACAGCTGCTTGGAGATGACCAGGGTGTTCCCTGGTGTCACCTGTATCTACACAGTTGCCAAATGTAGGCTTCATCTTGCAAGGTGCCTCTTCTTCAAGCTAGTCGGGAAAAGTACATCCGTCTCCTGGCAGCACAGCTTGAGATGTGGGGGCACTGAGGCATCCTCCAGGTCATGCTACTTTCAAGGCCAGCTTGTTTGTCCTTGGCAAGTCGGATCCTCACCTGCCTGTGTGCCTTGTGTAACTCCCTGAGCAGAAATCACATCTCACGCATTCATCCTAACCAAGAAACAGCATTCAAACAACTGTTTGCGATATAAAAGCTCATTTACTTTAATTTTTTAATGACATGAGAATGCACCAGTTGGAAAGCATTCTTAAAAACATCCTGCGCATCTTCCAACAGTTGTCTCCGATGTCTTCATCAGTAAAATTGCAACTCGGAAGAACCCATGAAGAAAACACAGGGCAGAACAATCCTGCTTCTCTGGGGTTTAAAGCTGCCTTTGTCCAATAAACTCAAAACGGTGGAGATTCACTGCCTGTGAAAGACACCTTAGCAAAATATCTAGGCTCAAAGATAGGAGTCTCTTTTTAATGGAGGCCACACAGGCTGATGCCTGCAGAAAATAATCTCCATTGCTTTGCCTATACTGAGAAGTATGATGAAAGTAACTTTTAAATAGTCTGGAGAAGACAGGCTCTGCACTCAGTGTGCAGAGGATATTGTGTCACATAGTTTGTGGATTTCTGTTTGAGAACCTCATTTTTTTGTATGCTATTCTTGCAAAGTTTCTTCCCCCACAGACCCAAGCTTGAAAATAAACAAGTCTACAAAGTTAAAGAGGAAGGTGTTAACTTTAAGGACGTAGTTCCTCCCTTCTCCCCTGCCTTGCCATATGCAGAGTTATTCATGCATCAAGAAAACATAACTCTGGACCTCTCTGCTGGGCCCTTAGGGCATTTTGTGACTATTCAAATGCCTGCTTACATTGGCTTGCTGAGAGTTTGCCTTGCCCTGTGGTTTACAGCCTCAGGGTTGCTTCTTTCTCACCACAGGTCCCTTGACAGAAGAGGTGCTATGGCTTCGTGCATTGGTTGTGTATATATGTGTGTGTCCATGAATAACTGTTTCAACCTCAGTTGCATTTATATAACTGACATTTTTACTAACAAAATGTAATGATATATTTTGAAAACTACTTTTCTGTGCTAAATAGAGTTGTTTGTATGTACAGCAATTTTGAACAGGTTTTTGTTGTTTTTAATGTAATATAAGAGAATTGCTTTAAGGTAGTAAAGAATATCATTTACTTATGTTACATTTTCAGTGAG